TCTCCTGGTCCTCCTGGTTCCTCCTGGTCCTCCTGGTTCTCCTGGTCCTCCTGGTTCCTCCTGGTCCTCCTGGTTCTCCTGGTCCTCCTGGTTCCTCCTGGTCCTCCTGATCCTCCTGGTATCTCCTGGTATCTCCTGGTCCTCCTGGTATCTCCTGGTCCTCCTGGTTCCTGCTGGTCCTCCTGGTCCTCCTGGTTCCTCCTGGTCCTCCTGGTTCCTCCTGGTCCTCCTGGTGTTTGGACAGATCTCCTGTGGTGGTTTCTGAGAACAGCTTCAGGTCTTCAGATCAGAGTCCACAGCCCGTCCTGCGGAGTCATGGTGGGACCACAGAGTCCACAGCCCGTCCTGCTGAGTCATGGTGGGACCACAGAGTCCACAGCCCGTCCTGCTGAGTCATGGTGGGACCACAGAGTCCACAGCCCGTCCTGCTGAGTCATGGTGGGATCAGTGACGCTCAGACCAAACCACCAAGGTGGGTGTTGGGTCTGAGGGTGGACTGGGAAGTCCAGGACCTTTGACTCGTCTGCTGCTGTCGACTCGTAAACATCTGAGGGTTTGTTTGGTTCCAGCTGGAGAAGATAAAAAGAGGAACCTGAAGCTCAGATGTGTCTGAGATCAAACTTCTGACGTCTTTATTTGATTTTATTCAACTTGATTTCAGTTTGGAAAAGTTTCTTCATTTGGTCAAAGTTTTTMTTTTCTTTTCTCTGGACTGTGTCTGTAGCTGACTCCAGTTTTCTGCAGTTTGTTCCAGGTGACAGATCATGTTTTTATTTTATTTTCTGAATGTTTGGATCAGATCTGCAGCTGACTGATGTTCGTCTCTTCATGTTTTTGATCTTTTCTGCTGCAGCTCCTGGTTTAAACAGTCTTTACCTGCTCAGCAGCTCAGAAAGCTCTAATCAGGTGTTGAAGCAGGAAACATGAAGCTGGAGGCCCAGTTTTTATCTTTTTATTTTAAATCACTTGTTTTATCATCGTTTCAACTCAAATCTTTTTTATATAAAAATATTTAGAAGGTTCTAAAGCTTTCATCTGAACCACGATGAAGAACTCACCCTCAGCCTTTATAATCTCAGATTATTTGTCTAAAAAAGAGAAAAGACTCAGATTTAAACCTTGAACAAACTGAGAGGTTCTGGTTCTGGTTCTGTCCTGGACCTGTGGACCTTTGAAAGCAGAGATTTTAAATAATTTTCTGTCAGTTTTCTTTGCTGAAGTTCAGAGTTTTAAAGTCAAACAAAGAGTTAAAGTTTCTTTTTGACTCCAGCAGAACTGAGTTATAATTCCTGTATAATCCAGGGCTGAGGGTTTGGACTCAGACTGAGCTCCGGTCAGGATCTCTTTGTGCAGAAATATTAAACAGTTGTTGTTAGCATGCAGTTAGTCAGCAGCCTCCGTCACTCTCTTACAGTAACACAGTCTGCATGTAAACACCGAGGCTTTGATTCAAAATCTGCTCCACTTTGATGTTTTCAACATTTCAGGACCTTAAAAGGCTCAGCGTGGAGCTGCAGGACCTTCATCTGTTCAACTCTGATCGACTCCTGGTAGGAAATGAGACCGTCGTCTGCGTTAATCAGAGTTAAATGTGTCTCTGCTGGACCGAAGCTTCAGGTCCACACACTGGTTCAAACCATCAAACACATGAGGATCTAATGAAAAACTAGGAACAGCTCACATCTCTACTGAATTTATTCATAGAGCAAAAAGAATAGAACCAGCCTTTATTGTCCCGTGGCAGGGCAACAGCAGAGACATCAGTCCACAGAAACAGTATGTGTCGTTATCAACTGTRGTAATAATAATAAAATAAAACATCCCTGTGGAGAAACCTCATCATTGTGCTCTTCTCTGATTGGTGGGTTAAAATCACAGCTGTGGCACAAAAACCACATCATCAAAGACTTAGCTGCCTACACAAACATGACCTCACAAACACGTGCACGCCAACACCACGGTGGAATAACAATAGAATAAAAAATAATAAGAAATTCCTAAACCTGCCTGAAGATCACTTAAAGCTCAAAAAGAGGAGGAGAGACGAAATGTTCATTAAAGAAGAACCCGTCCAAACAACATGAAAACATAAAAAATAAAAATTACTGCGTCAGACTATCCTCTCCTGTGGAACATCTTCCAGTTTCTGTCCGTGAGGCTGACACTCTGTCTACTTTTAAGATTAGACTGAAGACTTTCCTTTTTCA